GATCCCAAGGGTTTTATTGTAGAAATTTCTGTTCCGTAAATAATTTTTTTTTTCTCGAAGTAAAATAATCAATAAATCGAAAATCAATTGTTTAAACTAGATTTGCTTTCTGTTATTCAACGCTTTTAACGGTGTAAACGAATCTTCTAATAATTTGTACTTTAAGGAGACCCAATGACATAAATTTTGTTTAAACACTAATTTGAAAATTGAAATATCAATGCAAGCAAGTTTAATTGTTTCTGTAATTTTGAGACGCGATTATTCGAACACCTCTGAAAAAACTAGTAGCTATTGTAAAGAGCATTGAACGCCCTTTAAAACAATGTGTCATTTGACCCTCCTTTCCATTTAAGATTCTTAGGGTGACATCTACCCGTCCTAGGGGGTTGAAACAAGGAGAATAAAAATATTTATTTAAAGTGTCCCCCTTTCAAATAAAATTGACGGGACTTTTCGATTTTTCACATTTTTAACTACAAGAAAGATATTAAGAGTGGGAAGTTTTCAAATTGACATCCGGCATAAAGACTAATGTCTAACACACCCACGTGTAAACATCGTAATTGCGTTGAGGAACTGTAATAAGAGCTGACTTTTTTGTGCTTACAAATCTTAATTCACGCGACAGACAGCTATATTCATTAAGCAAAAGTGAAATAATGTGTTTTAAAAACTGTTCGGTTTTATTTTAATATTTTTTTAAGGTTTTGATTTCCAGTGTGTTTTCTCTATTAAAATTATGAGAAATATTCATGGTGTTTAATTTATTGTCGTGCAAAGGTTTAGTTACTGGAGAGTAACACTGGAGGCACGCAATCTTAGTTTTTTTAGCTGTCACTCCCAAAATACCTCGAATTAAAGTATCTTAATAAGAAATTTAAATTTTCGACATTTTTGTGATTTGYTAATGCAAAACATTCCGATCCGRCCGTCAATGCACCAAGCAAGTGAAGTGATCTGCTGACCAAACAAACCTGTCTCTTCTTAGTCTAACAGCGTGACCGGTGTGCACAGAACATACCCCCTAGGGTGGGGGGATATTTTGTGACCGATGTGTAGTGATTATGAGACTTTAATTTTCACCCATGTTATGGATGACTCTGTATACAATACGTCTCCATCCTTGCGGGTTGTTCGTTTCACGCGTCGCGGTCTCCAGCCTCATKTTAGTGAGCTTGGAATCATATCGGTCCATCTTGTTGGCGAATGTCCGCGTCTACCTGGACAACCCCTGTTGCSCTTCCCTAGACCAATTATTACTTCTCMATATTATCAGTCCTGTTAATGTGGCAAAAAAATAAAAAATTCGGCAATATGTGAAAGAAGACAGTCGCTGTTGTRGGCGGATTTCATTAAGGATTGAGGTATTGGTTCTTCTAGCCGTTCAAGGTRTACGAAGCATTCTCTACCAACACCACATCTCAAAGATGTCTATGCGTTTTATGTCAGCAGCACATATCACCCATGTCTCTTASCCGTAGGAGACACCAATGCTCTCATTAGCTGGGCTTTTGTGGTTTTTGTGAGATTTTTATTCCCTCACAACTTTGTCAACTGGATGCGCCGTCGATTCTTAGGYTTACCGCCGCCAGAGTTGTKCAAGGTGGAACCAAGGTATGTGAACTGCCCCACAACCTCGCATCCAATCCCTACAAGTTGCTTCCTAATCTAATTTTCACAATCCACTATCATGATTTTGGTTTTGCTATAATTTATTTCAGGACAGTAATTTGCACTAATATTTTCAAGTAAATGTAGCAATTCTAGAAGTTCATCTTCCATTTCGGATATGAGAACCGAATATTTAATTTTTTATTAACAATTCTAAACCGCTGTGAAATAAATGCCGTGCATGTGCTAAGCGTGCACAATGCCGCTGGCCATTGTTCTTAACAACATCGAAGTTCTTAGGCCTAATATTTCACCAATGAAATTTATTATAAAAATGATCCGTTAACAACGCGGTTGGGAGATGCAGTGGATGGTTCTCCCTTGTCTCTGGTGCGGTGCATATCACTGAAAGGAGGCATGTGCAACTCAGTGAACTTTGAGGAGTTGTCGCAATGATGCCAGTCACGTACTCGATGCCAGTCACCTACTTGGTAAAACCTTACTCATACGAAATGTGGGGTGCCCCTAGCCTAAACGCTAAGCGTATTTCGAAGTGTGCCACAGTGTGACGCGATTCATTAGCCCACAGAGCGGCAGCAGCTCAAAGCGCAACTCAACAC